GTCAAGCCTGCAAGTATGACAACCCGAGTTATTGGAGTGATGACCAGCAAGCTATAAAAGGCCTCTACTCATCCTGGTACACCTGTTTGTTCCACCACAGAGCTGGTTTCTTTATAACCGTCTGCTAAGTGAATTTCACTGATATGGAAGATAACTATTATTTTGATGGTTACAGATGAGCGTGTACTCACTTTACAGATTAAATCGAGAGCATCACGTGACTGCAGAGATCACACAACATTAATGCCTAATGCTATTAAAACCTCATTATAGCTACAATTAATTATTTAAAAAGTGTGATTTCTGTGTTCTATGTGTTTTATCAAATATTTTGTTTATCTGTACCTGTACTCTTGATATTCTCCTATCTCTTCACTCCTCTGTATTTGTCATGGTAAAAAGACTAATGAGACATGCCTTATAATCACATGCCTGTGATTTACTCTGGGCCTTATCTCGTCCTACATACACCCCACATCATGCATTTAGCTCAGTAGGTGAGTTTTTGTGCCTGTTCCTCTGATGCCCGTTATCATGAGGCTGATTGGTTCTTTCCTCTTCACAACCAGACCGAGCGCCACAGTTTTTTCGCAGGTAGGCAATATGTTGTGTGTTAGAATAGAAAAAGAGATTCAGAGATTCATTCATTCATTCATTCATTTTCATCTCTATTTGTCAGAATTTGTGTTTCAATTTAATAATGATCTGCCAATTATTTTTTGGGATGTTTTTGTAAGTTTTTTCTTTTTATTTACATTTATTAATTTTTTTGTAAGGCCGTGTTTTTCTTTTTATTATTGGATAGTAAAGAACAGGATCAGGATCAGGTGACAGAAATGCAAGAATCCATTAAACATATGCAGCATTATAAAAAGCAGAAATCTGTAATCCTGTCTTCAACGATCTTTTGATGTGTGAAAAGGTGTACAGCATTGCTTTAAGATTATCGCCTTGTAAGTCTCTCCAAATGCTGTACATCATAACCTGATCTCTCTCTCTGTGGTAACCTACATCCTAACCAGCTTTTGCCAGGCACAAGGTAAGCCAATCAAATGTTATCTACTTGCCATGTCACTCAGGTCCCACTATTTGTAGCATCAGGCCAGGAGAGTTACTGTGTGGTTTGGATTTTAGAAATCCTCCGTCTATCCCTCTCATAAGTAAAACTCACTTCTGTTTGTGTTCGTTCACAACAAATACACAGTCCACATTAGGGGGAATCTGTTGAGGTGGAAGCTGGTGAAGTGTTAACAGATAAGAATTAATGCATTAACAAGCAGAATGTGTTTTAGATCATTGGACAGTCCAGCAGAAGGGACTGGGGATATGATCATAGTGATAGTTTTTGTTGAGGAGTGGGTACTCTGTTTTATACCCGAGAGGTAATGAGATTAGCCGTCTAATCCAGGAGGAGTCAGGAATAGAACCACACTCCCCCCCCCCCAAGAGCACAGAGAGGAATATCCTGCATGGAGGCAATTACAAAGAACACAATCTCTGCACCTTTTCTCCACACTCTTCTCTTTCTATTTCTGATCAGTCACTTTCCACAAAGGAGAGCAGTGGATCCTGTGGGTACTTGTCATCACCCCACCTCACTGAACAGGGATAATCTGAGACGAATCAAATCAAGCGAGGCCACGGGATTGACTTCCCAAAGAGCTCGGGAGGGAAAGACAACGTCAGAGCTGCGGTGGTTGATGTCAGAAATATTGGCAACCGCCGCTCTGAGCCGTTTGTATTCTGAGATGGTTGTCACAGTCACCTCGTCCCACTTAAAACAGGTAAATCATTCTTTTGTATTGAAATGCATTTTATATTGTCTTAGAGTTAGAATAGCTGTATTTCCTTCCTTGGTAGCTATCTGGTGGATTATTCTGTACAGTGGAAGGGTGATTTTGAATACTTTACTGTAATGAGGTTAAACTATTACAGAAGAAAGGCAGATGCTAAATCCCTCATAATGGATTATGTTTGCTTTACATTTGCCTGAATATGATCTATGACGTTGATCTTGGATCGAGCTGCACATTTCTAGGTGCTCAGGTATATAAGTCGTCTAGTTTCAAACTGGAAAACTAACATTTAAATCCAGAGAACTGAATATTTATGAAAAGGCATTTTTCAGATTGTATTCAAGACTAAAGATAAATCCATCTGCACCACTTGTTTGCAGAAAGAGTGTGACATAGTTGTAACAAAGCAGATATTTGTGTGTCCAGGCTCTGCTATGACTGTGGATGTCAGTCTGAATGACTGCTCATATGGCTCTCCAGGCAAAGACAAGTGGTGGAGCTCTGATGGAATACCGTGAGTAAGACTGATGAAGACAGATCAATAAACCTTAATAACTGAGTGGTCAGTTAGCTGCTCAGCTGTGAGCTTGAATTTACAGGTTTGTATTTCATCAGAATGCTGCGTTCGAGTACAAATGTGCCACGAGACCAGCTATTTTTAGAGTCATGCTCTGATGACAGAGCTGCAGTGCCGGACGAGGATTAAACACCTCGACGTGAGCACTGATCTTAATTATTTAGGCCTTGCAGTACAACCTGCATTTGATTTGGAGTCTTTGTGCTGAACAACAGTTTATGAGTATTTCACATCTCTCTCTTTACATAACTAAATATAAGTATGATTTCATTGATTATATTTTAGATTATTTGTGTAACACCAGATTTTTCTTCCTTTCTCGCCCCCCCCCCCCTTTGACAACAACAACAGTCAAAGCCCCCAGGGCGAATTACACAATAGTAGGAGAGGCTATACGTTTTGTCATCCCTGCTCATATGCAATGCTCAATCGGCTGCGGAGGTCAAGCCTGCAAGTATGACAACCCGAGTTATTGGAGTGATGACCAGCAAGCTATAAAAGGCCTCTACTCATCCTGGTACACCTGTTTGTTCCACTTAAGTAGTTGTAATAGTCCAAAGAAAATATAGCAGTTTTCTTTAGTGTATATTTTTCTTTGTGTTGTGTTAGTTGAAGTAATAAGATGCAGATTATTATTTATTCTACATCCCACTAACATTCTTTTTTGTTATTTCAGGGTTACTGATCATCTTCTTGCTATGTCCAGACCCTCGACAGAAATCATTCAGAAATATGACATTATTAATCAATTCAGAAGGTATATATGTATATATATATATACTGTATATATATACACACAACTTTATGAATATGAGCACGATCTTTAGGGATGAGAATAATAACATGTCTCTCTTTGGATGTGTTTGTGTCAAGGAACAGTATTAAAACAGTGATCAACCTTCAGATACCTGGCGAACATGCCAGCTGTGGAAATCCTCTGGAGCCAGAGAGCGGCTTCTCATACCGCCCGGAGGTCTTCATGGAGAACAACAGTAAGAGCTTGATGCAAGAATCCTTCATAAATCTGGAGCGTTTGCACGAGTGTAACTGAAAACATCTTTTTGTTTCAGTTTATTTCTACAATTTTGGCTGGAGCGACTACGGAGTGGCCAATCTCACCACTGTGCTGGACATGGTGAAGGTCATGGCCTTTGCGCAGCAGGAGGGAAAGACGGCAGTTCACTGTCACGCTGGTCTTGGCAGAACAGGTAGATTTATGTGGAATGGTGCATTAAAGGGATCGTTTATCAACTCACCACTGTGCTGATGGAGGGGTGGGTGAAGTGTTTGACTCCACAAAACACTTTTGGAGTTTCAGGGGTAAACAGTGTTGTAGCCAAATCCAAAACAATTGAAGTCAATGATGACCGATTCTTCAAACGTATAAAAACAGAAAAAAAACATTACAGGCCTCCACACTGCTCCTGTGGTTTTATCCAAGTGTCTGTATGCCCCAACATTCAAATTCGAGGTTATTTACACCATGTTTTTAGCCTAAATGTCGGCTGTGATCCTCCGGTGCCGTGTTCACACCTGGATCACATGGTGTAAATGATTATTTTCTATTGTTTTTTTTACGTTTGAAGAAGTGGTCGTCATTTACATCAACTGTTTTGGATTTGGATTTGGCTGCAACGCTGTTTACCGCTGAAAATCCCAAAGTGTTTTGTGGACTCAAACACTTCAGCAACCCCTCCGTCGGCATAGTGGTGAGTAGATAATGAGTGAATTTTCATTTTTGGGTGAACTATCCCTTAAGCTCTTTCAAATTTCACTTGCTCAATAAACAGTTTTCTCTGTGCTTCCCTCCAGGTGTACTGTTAGCATGTTTCTTGGCCTACGCCACCAGGATGACTGCTAACCAGGCTATTTTGTATGTGCGTGCTAAACGCCCTGGTTCTATCCAGACCCGAGGTCAGCTGCGTTGTGTCAGAGAGTTTGTCCAGTTCCTTGCCCCTTTGAGGAGTGTGTTCTCCTGTGCCGAGCCTCAGTCCAACCCAGTCACACTATCGCAGTACCTGAACCGCCAGAGACACATCCTGCATGGCTACGAGAGGAAGGAGCTGAGGCACCTACCAAAGATCGTCCAGCTCGTGTCGAGACTTCTGATGGACATTGCAGAGAACCGACAGGTGATCGAGGAGGACATTCTGGAGGCCCCTGACATTTATGACATAGAGATGACTCTCAGCCTCATCGAGAAGCTGGGACCTGAAATGTTTGCCAAGGAGCCCCGCTTACCGGGTACGCCCACCTTACCCAGGCATTTCAATGAGCCAGCCATCTTCTACCACCGCAAAAGTCTGAGCTACAGTGAGTCTGACTTGAGACGACTGGGCTCACAGCTCAACCTTCCCAAGCAACCCCTTGGATCCCTGTCGCAGAATAACATAGAAATGCCTGTCGCACCCCAGCGTCAGGACAGGAATAGCAACATGTCTGAGGCCTCCCACGGCTCAACAGGCTCACTGTGGCAAATCAAGAATGTAGAAAACCAAGATGGATCCCTTTTGTTGAGGAAAGTCAAACGGGAATCCATCCAGCGCAGCGGGTCCGTGGGGAACAAGGAACCTACCAAGAAGGGATCCATGTTGTCCAGGTGGAAGGCAGAGCAGAGGGAGGAGTTGGCCATGAATGGCATGAAGCCTAAGGATACAAAGGAGGAGCACTCAGAGAAGTCCGAGGTGCCCTACATCACCCTGCAGACAGAGTTATCCCTGGAAGCCAGGAGGCTGTTAGTGGCACAGGCCCTGGCAGTGGATCTGTTTCTCGATGGGGAAGAAGAGCACAAGAGCAAAGTCTTAGCCTGGCAGGTAACTGACCCCGAACAGTGGTGTAATGGAAATGGAAACTAGCGCACATGTAAATGCATCAGAAGTTATGCTAAGATGTCACTAAATACAACAACTCAGTACAAAACTCTATGGGTTCACAACCGGCCTCTGACGCTACTCTAGCGTGAGGATACTCCACCTGTTACTCTACATACCTGTCCTACGTAAAACTATGACCCGTAGGAGCCAGTGAACTCAATCATCATCATGCTATGCTCTAGTGACAAAACAAATCAACACCCAGCAGCTATAACAGTACAATGGGTCGGAAATAGTTTCCTCAGTCACATACGGGGTAATTAAATATGTGTGATGTCTGAATGTGTGCAGGCAGAGCTGAACCAAGGCGGAGCGTGGGAGAGGCTGTGTATGGAGCGGGACCCCTTCATCCTCACTGGACTCATGTGGGCTTGGATGGAGCACCTTAAAGAGCCAGTCATCTCCATCCAGGCTGCCAAAGCCCTGAACCCTGACAACCCTGATCCTCAAACTGTCCTCAACACACTTGACCAGGTCAGAGTTGACTCTGTGCCGATTCACACTTGTAACAGCAGCAATGCAACAATTCTTTCTTTTGACTCCGCCCTCCTCGTCACCTCTTCCCAGGCTCCTAGAGAGACACTACGGTGCATACTAGACTGCATGGGTAATATGCTGATGATACCAGAAGAGGTTGAAAATGCATTCCTCAATCGAACTATCAAAGCTTTCACCTGGGTAAGAAAAACAAAATCATCGAATTATTTGAGCAGTTAAATTCATTTCCATATCACGTTTGTTTTAAAAACTGAAGAATCATGTTTACCTTTTGAACAGGTGGAGCGTGACTCAGAGGAGGGGAGACAAGTATACGAGACCATGACTCCAGTCCTGAGGTGCGTCCTCGAAGACAAAAGATATACGCGCATGGACGCAGATGAGACATCTCTGTCTCCCTTCTCTTTATCATAGGAGCGGTTATGTATGTGTGGTGTACTCTGAAAGACTCCATGTGGAGGCTTGAAAGAGAGAAGGAAGCTTTTTGTGCCTTGTGACAAATTGATTTAATGTTTAATAACTCATTTGTCAATATGGGGGGTTTATATAATGTATGAACATTCATGGTATGTAGTTTATTGCCACTAATACAAAGCTCGCCTCAGTATTATTTGACCTAAATAGTGAGTGGAGGCGACATAACGAAGAACTGGTCGCCAGAATATTTACTTTGCAATACTTCATGCCTTAAGCTTTGTCATATTCATCCATAACAGTGACATACCTCAGCTTTACATATTGTATCACACAGCATAACAATGCCTTTCCCATAACATAGTGCTTCTTATCTGTATTATAAGTTACATTCTCTTCATTCCTCCTTCGTGTGGGCTGTGCAAATAAAGGCACTAGTCTCTGTGAAGCAGTGACGCTCAGGAGGTGAAAAAATACGCTTTCAAGACGTCTTTCCCATCTTTCCCTTCCACTGAGGCCACGATGCTGGTGTAGTCACAGGCGACATGAGTGAACCCTCTAGTGACAGGGCACAAAGACGAAAGTCACAAAATTAGTAAATGAGGAGAAGCTGACGGAGCGACGCACACGCTCTACGTATCACAATATCACGTTTTTATATATTGTAATAACACAAATCTGTTCAGGACGTCATCAAGACATCATTTATACCATGTGATGATGAATCATTGGTTAATCTAAATAAAACTGTAGATCATGTTTTTAATGTTAGTGGTTGCAACAATTTTCTGACTTCATAGTTACATTGTGATGATGTCATTCCTATCAAGATTATAAATTATTGCTTTTTTGAACTATGTACGACTTTGTGATTTCTTCATAACAATTACAAGTCAGTTATCATATAATATCATATGATGGGGAGTCATTTTCTGATTAATATAAGTTTTAGCTCGTCTTGCTAGCTCTTATTATTTGTAGACTTGTTGGGAAATGTGTTCTTACGGACTATATTTTTTTTTACCATCTACCGATCAGCTCCAAAAGTGACTCATCTGGAGATACTCTCCCAAGTAATAATCCTACCAAGTTTGGTGAATGTATGTTCATGCATTGTTGAGTTATTTTGTACACAACCACACATGGACAATGCCCTTGGTTCCTGCATTGCCAGCTCACAGCACAATACAGCTGTTATTAATGAGATGCAGTACGAGTGTAGCTACTATTGCTTTTAATTTAATCGCACATTGCAGAATCCATTACCTGGACATCGTGTGAGAGCCTCCCAGTAAGTGGTATCTGCTCTCCAGACTAAGTCCATTGTCTTTGTCATTTCTCCACATCAGTAATCGTAAGGACAGATCCTGAGACGCCGTCACCAAACGAAAACTATCCTGTCAAAGTCAACACACAGAAAAACAAATGAGTCCTTTTCAGAAACCTCCAGAACCAATTTCAACTTGGGAAGTGGAAATGTCTTTGAAATGAAATGAGAGAAGAGCTGACCAGACATATAGAAGAGATGGGCATGATGTGCTCTTTAAAGTTAGCCAGCAGGACTCCTTTCAGAGAGTACACCCACAGCTCCTTGTCGGCTGCCACCACTAAGCAGTTGCTGTCTTTGGCCTCCAGCAGGACATATGAGGACATACTGTTCAGAGTCAAGGGAAAGGACTCCACCTGCTGGACTACAAGGAGAAGAGAATCTAAATTATAGTAGTACTTATTCTGTGATGTTGAGTTACAGAATAAATTTACTCAAGCAACTTGAATTACATCTAATTTAATTTCTTTAATTTTCTCGGAATTATCTTTAACAGAAAATTGAGAACAAGTGTGAATTTATTTTTATTCCAATTCAATTTTCAATTAATTCAAACATTTTGTGGAGGGGTGAGGCATGACCCAGGGATGAAGATCCAGATCCGAGGGGAGATTAAGTGTTTTTGTTTTCTTAAACACTGAGTTGTTTTACAGAAGAATAATTTATCAGAGAATAACGAATGGATCTTGATTAAATAAATCAAATATGATTTGGGGACTTATATTTAAGAGTTTGTGAAATTTGGTGCAACCAAAAATCAGGATCTAGTGAGTTTGAGGTTTCATAGGGGACTGTTGGGTCTTGTTGGAGCTATGAGTGTTATTGTACCAGACATTTCTTGGATGATGCCAGTCGGCCACCACAAAATGCAAACTGCTCAATGACAAACCAATGAAATTCAGCACTTTCTTTACCAGCAGCTGTTCAGTAGTTAAAAGGATTTTTTTCTTCACCAACTGACTGCTATTTTTTAACAGCTATTATGAGATTCATATCCCTAGTCTCTGTCCTCACCCTGGATATCTGCCTTGTACTTTGTCTTTTTAATGCTGACATCAAACACACTGAGGGCTTTGTTGGTTGAGTGCACGGGGCTGTGGACGACGGCCAGTCTGGCGGGCTGGGTGGGTACGAAGACAGCAGCCTGGCACCCGGTGACTGGCACAGCCTGGCACAGAGCTTCTTCGTCCTCAGACGGAGAGGTCAAACTCTCAGTGTAGATCACCTGGCAGCAAAGCAAACAAGAGAAATCTATGAAATGCGTGTTTATGTTTCATCGTTCTTATCTAGGAACACCTGTTCTCCCACTGTGTCATTTGGACAGATGTAAATGAGATAAAAGTAAATGTAACCAGACTGTCAAAGACAATAACAAATACCTTTGGAGATAAATCATCATTGTCCTTGGTTCCAGCTGTAATCCACTTCTTGTTCGGTGAAACTACGAGTACATTGACTTTAAACGTGTCCCAAACCTTTATGCTGGACTTTTTAGTCAAAGCAGAATCAGCTAGAGTGCACACTGACCCCTGACTGGTCCCCACCTGGATAAAGACATCAGGAAAAGAATGTGTAAATCTTCAAATAATAAAAACATTCAACTTGTATCTTTTACTCTGAAGTTGCGTACAGTGAGAAACCACTCGTTGTTGATGCTGTACTGGAGTAATGTACAGTGAGGGGATGCGGTTGGAAATGAGGCCATCTCCTGGCCGGTGCTTCCCTGCCAGGTCTTAATGAGGCCTGTGGAGTCGGCTGTGATCACGACGTCATGCTGTTCATCCTTTACGATCGCCGTCAAGGGATTCTGCACAGGACTGCACCACAAGAGCTCCCCCTGAGAGGGAGAGAGAGGGAGGGAGAGAAAGAGAGAGAGAACTGCCTTCATTCCAATGACTTGCATCTGTGAGCCAAGCAGGGGAAACTTTGAAAGAGTTTGTCTCAGGGGTGCGGAGCTGGAATGAAAGCTGCATTCATGTGGTTTGCAGTCGCACATGACTGTGGTACATGTGACAGGGTTGGGTGTAGATAACAGGTGTGAATGCAGTATGGGTGCCCGCATTCAAACACTTTCACCGGAGAGTAAAAAACCCCACATGACATGACGAAATGCATCGTCTACGTTTTCGATAACAAAACTGACAGCAGGTGACACTTACGACTGAGTTTTACAGGTTTGTCATGGTGAGTTATTTATTTCTTATTACCTCCACCAAGACTTTATGGTTTCAACCCTGTTTGTTTGTTTGATATCACCAGGATTACGCAAAAGTTACTCAACAGGTTTCTACAAAACTTGGTGGAAGGATGGGACATGGGCTAAGGAAGCACCCATTCAATTGATGCTGAAGGTGTTGCACTGACATTTTGGATGTTCCATGCTCGAACTGTGCCATCAGTGGAGCCGCTGCAGACTGTGGAGCTGCTGGTCCAGAGCTCAGGATGTTGGGCTGAGTTGCCCTGTAGGTACACCAACCCTACCACCCTGCCTGGTGGACAAGGCACATGTCAGACAAAAAGAAATGGGACTAGAATCATTATGGAGTCAAGTAAAGGGGATTCCAGATTTACACAATCACAATATGGGGAGTTGGCTTTACAAAGTCAATACAAATATTGTGGTTAGGTTGAGGGTTAGGTCATGGTTAGGTTAATGTTAAGGTTAAGGTTAAGGTTAAGGTTAGGGTGAGGGTGAGGTTAGGTTAAGTCATGGTTAGGCTAAGGTTAATGTTAAGGTTAGGTTAAGTTAAGTTAAGGTTATGGTGAGGTTAGGTTTAGGTTATGTTTATGTTAAGATTAGAATGTTATGGTGTGCTCACAGGTCTTTAAAAAATTGATCAGAAGGTTGCAGCTAATTTAAAATGCTGCTGCTCGTGTCGTCACTAAAGCGCTGAAACAGCTTTTAATTTAAAACCTGTCCTTTTTGCCACGGCCATTTACTAAATCATACAATTACTAATTTCTTAAACTGCAGTGTTCTTTTCAATCTTCTGTTACTTAATTTATCTAAGTTTTCAACTTTTCATGTCTTTTACATGCTTCTTTTTTTGTATTGTCTTATGTTGCATTTATAATTTGCCTTTTACATTCCATGTAAAGCACTTTGAATTGCCTTGCTGTTGAAATGTGCTTTACAAATAAACTTTACTTGCCTTAAGGTTCGGATGAGGGTTAGGTTTAGGATCAGGTTAAGGTCAGAGTTTGGCAAGTAGTTGAGGTGATAACTCTGAAGTGTGTGTGTGTGTGTGTGTGTACCTGTGTGTCCTCTGAGGCTTTTGCAGCTGTAACCTCCTGACCGTCCTTGCGTCATCTTCTCCTCTAAGTGGCTGCGTCGCAGGAAGTAAGTCTTCCAGGAGTGATTGACTTGTTTGCTGCCCAACACACTGAGGTTACAGAAGGTCCAGCGCTGCAGACACAACCTCCTGCAGAGAAAACACACAATTATTGTTGACGTTCACACAACAACAGTCGTTATTTAACAGTTGTGCAAACAAAGGATATAAAGGTGCGAACAGCTCACCTCCATAACCAAGGAGTGCCTGCAGCTTCCTGCCAGTCCTGGACACACAGGGAACAGAATGATCTCAACAATAACAAACATTATTATCTCGACTACTTCCGCGAGTTGGACACTTACCTTACACACATGTGACGCTATTATCAAATCCTCCTCATTTAGAAATGTGAAAATATGAATAATACAATCCCTGATCAGGTATGGGTGATGAGGATCCATAGTGAAATCAATAATCTAACACTACTTCATCAATAATGTCCCAACTGTTCATGAGGGGCACGGCTGCTCCAAATTTTGACAAGCTACGGAAAGCGTACAGGGTCAAACAGGAAGTGGATTGTTGACTATTTGTGCCTGTAACATCCGGTTTCTGCCACCAGATGTCGCCATAATAAAAGGAAGGTGGTGCAGGATAGAGACGCAACGCGTGGCAGCGCGCACCAGGTGCACTGGAACAACGAGAAGTGATATTATATCGAATATATATATATTATAAGATATACATGCAATGTATATAGTATATATATTATATATAATCAAGGTCATAACAATGTGATTTAACTTATACAAGGAAAAAATATTTCTACACTATGAGTCTGGGAATAATTCTAATAATGAGGGTTTGATTCTTAAAAGAAAATAATCTTTCCTGTCTTTGTTTTAATTATTTCTGGAGGTTTTTGTGGTTTGTGGTTAATCTTTTAAGTAAGAGGAGAAACATTTGGATAAATCTAGAGAAGCAAACCTGGAAACACGTGCGTAAAATGTAAACTTAAAGGAACCTCCAACTGTGCTGTGCCCTGACGCACTTAATAATAACCAGATCAATGACCATCTTAATCAGTCAAGGTGTGCGTGCGTCCGTGCGTGTATGTGTGTGTTGCGGAGATATTCAGCCCTGGCGGGATTCTTCTTCTTCAGCAGGGCCCCATGCATGTCTCCTGAGAACACGCCCCAGATAGATGAGGCAGATATATAACCAGGACCTGCGGGTTTGCAGAGGAACTGTGAGAACGAGATAATCGCACTTGTTCACCCCACGGCTCACCTGCGACTGTGACAGCCTCGCAATGACAAGAGGGCCCAGAGGAAGGTGGCCTTGTGAACGGAGTTTGGATGATACCCTGTAGCCGGCAGCTTGTGAGAGTTCCCGGGGTTGTACCGCCATAGTTTCCTTTTTTTCTTATGCTTTTCGGACTTCTGGAGTTCCGTTGGACTTACCTGTGACCGACCTGAGAACAAGCGTTACGCACAAGTTAATCAACAGCTCTGCAGATCGGTGTATGAGAACAGGAGCTCGGCCGCAATGAGTCGGAGAACACGACGCTGGATTTTAAGAGTTTTACTTTGTCTGGGAATTGTTTATTTGAAAATTGGGTGAGCTGCCTTCACTTTGACTTCTGCTCATGAGCTTGTTACGTTGTCCTCCAACACTGAAGATAAAAACGCGTATCTGTTATCTCTTACTGATCCTTCAAAAAAAAAACACAGATTTTATCCTTTACTTCCTCAGTTGATTTTAAATATGACAAATATAAAGTTTAGCGACGTGCGTAAAGTTGGGCATATGTGCGTAAAAGACTCAGTTACCGTATACGTGATGTTAACACCGTGCCTATTAATGACGACGTTTCCTTTATTGTATATTTTGTGTTTTGTAAAAGTCATTCTGGCTTCATCTGTTTTAACAGTATCTGGAACTTTAATGCCTGAAATTTGGAAAACGGTGCACCTTAACCGGACATGTTTTATCTCCTGTAAAGTGGAGGACTCATAGAATACATTTTAATGTTAAAATAAAATGATCCGAACAAAACGGGGACATATTGATTGTGTTGATTATATATTTATTGAACCTAAACGGGAAAATTCACTCGCATATCAAAGAGGGGGGGAACGGTTGGTGGGTCATTTACCACAGTCCTATCCATCTTCCATCCACAGTGGCTTCACGTCCGTGGTGGCCCTAGGTGCGAGCATTATCTGTAACAAGATCCCCGGTCTGGCTCCCAGACAACGGATTATCTGCCAGAGTCGCCCCGATGCCATTATCGTCATCGGAGAGGGAGCCCAAATGGGCATCAACGAGTGTCAGTTTCAGTTCAAAAACGGGCGCTGGAACTGCTCTGCGCTTGGAGAGAGGACAGTCTTCGGAAAAGAGTTGAAAGTGGGTATGTTGCTGTCTGTTAATGTTTGTTTACAGTTTGAAATATTCTTCTATCAATGGGCTCAACTCATTTTGTCTGTCACCTCACAATTCCATGCGTATTTGTGCTCATTGTGCGTAAAACCCTTGGTTCTTTTGCCATTCTCCCTGAAAACGGTTTGTATTTACAATCACAAAGCCAAAGTAAATTGAAGGGTTTAAATATATTTAGTCCGTTAATAATTGAAGTTGAAATATGACCTGATGCTTGAGAAAAATTGTGTGTAAAGTCATAACTTTAAAATACATAATTTTTTCTATATGTCTCACAAAATGAATTATACATCTGATCCCCTTGAACTGCAGTCAAGATCAGTGCTCGACTTCCTCTGCACATACACGATCAATCACTTTGTATCACTGCATCCCAGTATATAGGGAGCATCCTGTATAGAAGCAGTGTCATTTACATCAGGCCTAGTTCTCCTGACTTTTCATTGAGCGGGGCTTTTCTGAGGATGTGTAAAAGGTATCTGAAGCCAGCGCTGTAACAGAGCTCTTGTGAATGTTGGCAGCCTTTCTTTTCAGCCGAACAGAGCCTCTGGAGACACATTTTCACTGGTCTTTATCCTGTCTAGTGATGGGTGCTGTGGCTCCCACTGTAAGGACGTCGATCTTACCACGGGTATAAGTTACAGTGGGGGGAAAGACAAGGGGAGAGCAGAACTTGAATGTATAAAATTAAAACAACAAATTAGTCTTCCTGCTAAATCAAAGGTCTCCTGTTAAAATATGACAAACCAAACCTGAAGTCATGGCTGGAAGTTTGTGGCTCATTTGTCTTCTACTATCTGATAAGGTGGATGTAACACCGTCAAATATTGAGGGTATAAGAATATTTTCTGCAATGACACCTGAAGGCTACAGTATAGGGAGTTTTAATACTTTTTGTTATTGAAATAAACCAAAACCTCCCAATAGGCTTCATTTACTCTTTTACACAATGGTCAGTAGCTTGGACCAGATGTTTGAGATCTCACACGCTGCTATTGGCATGAAAGGATTATCTCCTCATAGTGTTGAAATGAAAACAGTGGTGTTCCACAATCTGTTCCTTTATGAATGAGTAGTTTTAACCCATCGAGAGACTGTGTTTCCAAGAGGGGAGTTTACGTCTATGGGCTGGACAGCCATACCGAATAGATTGGTTTCACCGCTCAGATTAGCGCAGAAGGCTAAAAGGTTGTAAATGAGCACCATTGTTGATGCCCATTCTGCATCAGCTGCAGCTTGTGATTGTTCTCAAAGCAAAGCGAGGGATGACCAGTGAACTGACATAATGCTTATGAGCAACGCGAGGTGCGTTGGCACTGAGCCGTTTTGGGATTTTAGGCTTCAACTGAGTTTGCACTTGAGCATTGTGGTTGCACTAAGCTGCGAGAGAGACCAGGTCCATATAAAGATCGTGCGTATGGAGAGGTCCCTGACACTGTGGAGATGAAGGAGAAGCAGACGTGGCAGAAGAACAGTGAACCGGCACTCCCAGTTCAACTTATACATGCTTCTGACTCTCTCTTTTTAATATCTTACACCTCTCATTAAGGTTATGAAGAATTCACACCGTCTCTTGCGGTGAACTCATGCACTCAGAACTGAAAGGGGAAAATTAACAACGGTGCAGTCAGAACTGACACACCTTCTTTTTTGGCTCGGAGCCCATCAACTCTATAAAAGCGTCCACATAATTGATGCCTCAATATGAGTTGGGTTTTTTTTCAATGGCAAGGGCACAGATCCAAGATGTTTATCAAAAACACGGCAGCTTTACATGGTGAAGCAGGTGAGAGGAGGAAGCACGGAGAAGACACGATGTTTGTTTTGAACAAACAGAGACAAGAGGAGTTTGTTTACACACTAATACAGCGTGATTTCCTGTTTGTGTGATAAAGAATCACAGATCAGAGAATGAAAACATGCTACTTGGTGATTATGTTCATGAACATGCACATTTATTTGGCTGTGGGCTGTTTTGGCAATGGAAGGAAAAAGTGTAGCTTGTTTACATAGGATCTGTCTATGAGTCTTGGCAGATTAACCATTAGTTATCTGTCGATATTTCCTCATGTGTGTAAATGATTTGTGAGCTGGACTTGGGTGAGATAACGGCAGAATGAAGATTCTGATGTCACTGGTTTATGAGTTTACACAGAATGTGACAGTTTCTGAGTGGATCAATAGCCCACTTCCTTTCCGACAACCATCGTATTCATGCCGCTTTGTTGACTGTACCACCAGCAGTCATTTTAGTTCACGGGCAGGACAGTTTCCAGGTCAGGTTTTAAAACACTGCAGACCTTGAGTGATATGTCAGTGAGACTGTGATGTAATCACATATACTATTAATTGTTAATCAACTTTTCCTATTTGAAAATCCTTTTGTATTTTCCTTATCCTGGACACTTACAAAATCTAAATCTATACGTGCTACTTTTTATTCATCACCCCTTTTTCCCCTGCTCCCCTGTAGGTAGCAAAGAGGCTGCGTTCACCTACGCCATCATCGCTGCAGGAGTGGCCCATGCCATCACTGCGGCATGCACACAGGGTAACCTGAGTGACTGTAGCTGTGACAAGGAGAAGCAGGGTTTCTACAGCAAAGACCAGGGCTGGAAGTGGGGAGGCTGCTCGGCGGACATCAGCTACGGCCTGGGCTTCTCAAAAGTGTTTATCGATGCTCGGGAGGTCAAACAGAACGCAAGGACGCTCATGAACCTCCATAATAATGAGGTTGGACGCAAGGTAAGTGATGAACAATGGGATTATGCGTCTTTATCTTGTATAAAAGTTGTGAATGTGTGGTCTTATCCTGTCTCAAGGGAAAAAAAGTTGACATTGAACTGTGGGTTAACTAGTCTGTGGTTGATCTAAGCTCCTGTTAACAGTCTCTATCGTGCAGTGGCATGAGTGAACTTTGCCAAGGTTCTGGGCAAGAGGGCCTGGATGAAACAAGCAGCGGAATAAAAGGCTGCTTTTAGGGGAAGAGCTGTCTAAGTGGCAGGGTTTGATTACAACCCAGATCTCTAGTCTGAAAACAGATTGACACTGTACAAAAAGGCATTAACCCAGTCCTGCACATGCTTTGCACCACTGGGACAGTACACAGTTTCCATTATACCGATCCCCACCCACTGTTTCTCTAATATCATAAACCCACATCAATGTGGTGCAATGTGCTTGTACATGTACCTCAAAACCATTGCTGTTTGAATACTGGGTTGGATTATCATTGAGTAGACCAGTATGTGTCTTCTGCTGTCGTAGAGGGTGTTCAGTTACATGCTGTCCACCATAACAGCTCTAATAAACAGGTTTTAATGACATCATTAGCAATAAGCTCCAAAGTGGGTCTTTACAAAGTATACATTTTGTATTTTATATATCATGTTACTGGACATGCTCATTGACAGACTGTATGAAAGTCAAGATTTTAAAGGAAAAGTTATAAAGAGCATCAAAGCATACATCAAAAACAAAATATAAAGACATCAAATAGGCCCAACAGTTCCTTTATGAACACTTAAATTCACCAGATCAAGACTTTTATTTAGATCTGCACCAAATTACACATACGCATGAACATCACTCCTCTAAATATCCCTGATTTCTTTCAGGATCAAAGAGTTTATCTCTGATAAGTCAACTAAAATGATGAAGAACACCTCATTCATCTCATGATACGGATGATTTCTTCCCTGACCCATACCACACCCCTCCACCAGGTTTCATGCTAATCCAATCAGTAGTTTTTGTGTAATCTTTAATAACAGACACATACAGACGAAAACATAACCTCCTTGGTGGAGGTAAGAAACAGTTTGAATCAAATCATCAGGAATAAACTCAAAACTGGATCTTTATCTTGTTTTAGTTTGGTATTTTATAAACGATTTTATTCTCACTGACATAAATAAAGGTGGAATTACAACATCAAACAGTAAGAAAATACCTGTATGAAGACGTCTTATTCATCAGGAAATGATTGATTGCATGCATGCCTGCAGAAGAGTGACAAAGAGACTCACTGCAAAGTGACAAAGAGACTCCAGTGAGTCTAGAGGTTAGAGATCGAAGGGGGTAATGTGCCAAAACAGCTGAAGTGAGGCTGGAGTTAGTGAAGAATAAAGAAGCAGCTTTGCCCATGTTAACTCATATCCCCTCTCTCCACCACACCGTGCCAAAACAGCCTCATTCACAAAACCAACATGTCCAGCAGTGGCTGAAAAGCCCCCTCGCACACAATTGTGCAGAGAAGATCATTTTCCATGAGCATTTCAGGCCCATGAATTCAAATTGTCTTATCTGGACAGCTAAATTGCCCCTCAGAGAAAAGTGTATACTTGTGGATTCAAACTTCTGAGCACTATTCCCCCCGTCCCCTTTTTCTTTGCTGATAAATAGACTCTCTGTTTTGATAGTCATCCCCCTCTCCGCCTTTATTTATGCTAATCAAAAGCAGTGACACTGAGCAGGAGCGCCGTTCACAGCTCCCCCGGTCGAAGACGTCCGGACAAAGGCTGTCACAAGTGTTGGTCACAGAACAACTGATGGATTAGGGAGTTGCAGCCAGGAGGTTTTATGAAGTGGTTTGCTTGGGGAAAAGTTGTTTTTCGCTCCTTGTTCTCATGTCTGCATTTGGGTTTATAGTTACAGTTTACTTGCCAAGAACTCGGAGGCATAAATCTCCTGTCGGTGGCTGTAGGAGACGATATCGCATACCAAACACCGAGTGTTTTAGAGAAAGGAAATCGCAATTGACCTTGTTGCTAACGAAAAATTCCAGTTTCAGTCAGTGGCACTTCTCATTGTCATCAGTTCAGGGTTTAACAGTAATCCCAGTCACTCGACGCCTTGTACAATCACTCTTGACATTTGTGTGTTGTGTGTGGTAACTACACACACAGAGTCTGAAATCCGATACATTATTTTGGCTTCTGTGTGTACGGTATCACACTGCTATATGATGGTGCTGTGTTTAATCCACGACCGCAGTTTATTTGTCAGTCACGTGGTTATTAAGCTGCACGTCTGTCACTTACCCTGAAGTGCATGAGTTGAAATGTGGATTGAGGTTGTAGAAACATGTACAGAAACAATAACTATTCTGGAGAATAAATAATAACATTCCTTTGAGGGAGGAAGCAGTGAAATCATGACCAACATAATACTTGGTTTTAACAGTTTGGCTGTTATTATTCTATCATGAGAGAGTGACTATCACTCATCACTGTAATGTGTTTCTACAGTTGCCAGTTGTTACTACACTTCTAAGTTGTTTTTTATGTCTAGGTCCTGGAGAAGAACATGCGACTGGAATGCAAGTGTCATGGTGTCTCAGGCTCCTGCACCACCAAAACCTGCTGGACTACACTTCCCAAGTTCCGCGAGCTTGGCTACATTCTCAAGGAGAAGTATGCCCACGCCGTGCACGTGGAAACGGTGAAAGCCAGCCGCAACAAGCGCCCTAAATTCCTGAAGATCAAGAAGCCTTACTCTTACCGGAAGCCCATGGATTCAGACCTGGTGTACATAGATAGGTCGCCCAACTACTGTGAGGCGGACCCCATCACAGGGAGCTTGGGCACACAGGGCCGGGTGTGCAACAAGACTATGATGCAGCACATCAGCGGCTGCGACCTCATGTGCTGCGGGCGCGGATACAACACACACCAGTACTCACGCGTGTGGCAGTGCAACTGCAAGTTCCTGTGGTGCTGCTACGTCAAGTGCAACACCTGCAGCGAGAGGACAGAGGTGTACACATGCAAATGAGAATATTTATCGGAAGGTGTGTCTGTGGGTGTTACTGTGTGTGTGTGTGTGTGTGTGTGTGTGTGTGTCGGAGCGTGTGTGTTCATGTCTTTGTGATGTCACGGACAAACTGGAACTGTTGAATTTAACTAGGAGGCTGTGATTGAAGCCTGTTCGCACGTCAGGAGGAACTACTGCAATGTGCATACAGTAAGCGGAGGATGGGGCGTCGCGATTCTTTTGCACACAAAGCTCTTCACCCCTCTTCTTGGATTGTAGTTTGTCGGGGGGGTGACTGTTAAAGGAAAAAAACTGGACTGTGTCAAACGGGACAGGGTGACCACAGCGTGAGTCACCCAGGCAAAAAGGTCAAGACTTTAAGCTATGTGGACGTGTACTTACATTTTGACTGTTCGGACTTTGCAGATGCAAGTGATTGATGGATGTGATTGCTGGGCGGAGCACATCGCTGTAGTTCTCGCTCCCTGGGCCCAGATGAAATGACACAGCCATTTGGAATATTTAACATACTGTATTTAGAGAATGAAAATGATTAATATTAATTTATTCTATAAAGAAAACTACTGATTTTTTTTGTCCATTTTGGATCAAAAGTAACTAAATGTTGGGAGGTTTTAGTTTATTAAAGCAATCGGCCCTCGTCTGTGGTTGATACACTGGATTCCAATCTGCCTGGAATAACTTGTAGAATAACGTTGTTCCACATGAAACTGCTGTAGGCTGCTCACACTGACCTTCTGACCTTCTCATGAGTTTGTCTTCCCTCTGTTTGCTGCTAGTCTAGAGAATCCCACTTGTTGAGGTAGAAGGCCATATACGCTCTACTGACCGTCTTCAATGGCATTGCTCACTTCAAGCTGATTTAGCTTAACTGGACTTATTCACTGATCAAAAAGATGGGCACATTCTCCACTTTTGGTAAATATTGGTTGATAGAGTTTATTTTGTAAAAGCCTATTTTTATATGAATGTCTTATTTATATCTTTTTTGCATATTCAATGTCGAGCTCTGACCCCGACACCTGTTTTGAAACCTTTGTGAGAAAAAAAGCTGATGTATGTAAGTTGGCCCCTTGCTGTCACTGCCATAGTTGTGTATTGTAAGTGATAGAAACTGATTATATGTGTCTGTGTTCAACATGTCTGTGTTTACTGCATTTCATGACTACTACTGATGGAATACAGGAGCAGAATAACACTAACAAGACGTGGATTCCATTATTGCTTCTTCATACATCAAGATCGTGACAAAAGCACAAGTGGCGATGTTTTATTCCATTATTCAAAAGATTTTAAAAAAAGGAAACCCATGGAGAGCATTTCGTTTCGTGAGAGTACTGCAAGAAGAAAACAAACTTGAGGATGTTGTAATGTGCTTGAAACGGCGACAATCAAAAATGACTCTGTTTTCTTTATATAATCAACCACTGCAGTGGAGTTATCAAACATATATGACATAAATGACCTAAATTGCCCATTAAATAAGATTTTTGGATTATCAGGCACCTGCCATGTCTCATAAATGAGAGATAAATGTTATCAAGTATTAAATGCTCATCGTGGAGATAAATCACATCTCAATGGGCTTATCCCACACGTACCATGTGTCTTGTACTCGGCCACAGAAAGAGATCCGTTCTTTGGGAAGGGGAAAGTTATTCAGGCTTAATTGAGGGCCCGTCTCCCAGACTGGGGAGCAGTTGAATGTGTCCGGGGAGAAATAGTGTTTGTGGTCTAATGGTAGGGTACCAGCGTAATTGATGAGACTGGCCGGACAGACTGTCACGGTGATGACTTGCTCAGTCGGGGGAGTGGGAGCTGTCAGGTGATAGATGACTCGCACATCTGCTTCATTCACTCCTGGGCCACTAGTTGCTACAACAACTCCAGCGCAGCAGAGAAAATGCGGGGCAGTCTCCAAGAGAGGCCGGCCAATGTGTCAGGGAAATGTTAACGATGCTGAAGCCCACGGTCGTTACAGATTCCACTCTCATCGGCCTGGAAGTGCAGTCAGGAGACGGACCCGGAGGTGTTGACGGAAAACCTGCTCCCAATAATCTCCTGGGATTGACAAATGTGGCCTGTAAAGTTTTCACCTGTGCTTTAGAACATTTCAATGGGGGGGGGGGGTTCCTGGTAAAAACACTTTAAAAAAAAAAAACCTTATTGAAGAAGCTGAATCAGGGAATTCAGGTTTAATTTACAGTAGATTAGCCATATCATGTGTCATTGGCTGAGATAATCTGCCCAGAATAAAGAGAAAAGGGCGTGAGGGGGATAATAATAGAGGCTTGTCTCTGTCTAACAAAAGCTTTCAGCTTTCGTAATATTGATACAAAAGACTCTCACATAAGAAAAGGCAGCTGCTCCAAAAGCTCGGGTTAAACCTAAACTAGGGTTTTGTGTGTGAGAAACACACCACAGTGTCTCAAGAACAAAACACATACACTTCAGAGTCACTTAGTTTGTGTGTTACCTTGTTTTCACTTGTAACAATCGAAATGACAAAATACCAGGGTTGTGTGGGGAGCTTTAACATCGTGTTGTTAAGTAACAGGGTGGATCAATCGCTAATATTTACACAATTAAACATTTTCTGTTGATGATAACATGTTTTAAACTATAAAGGCAATCAATAGAGTACATTGTCTGGATCCGCACCAATATTTAATCGGTTCTTTCTTGACCCCTGTGCCATCCTTCCATCGAGTTTTGTGGAAATCTGTTTTGTAGTTTTTGCTTAATCCTGCTGGCAAATCAATTAACACACAAAATAACCTCTACTAAATATATCATTTCCCTCAATATACAAACCAACCAAGCAACCAACTCACTCAGTAGAGCACATACCTCCACCAAGGCCCAACCGACCCCCTAAATCAATCAAGCTGCACCAAATTGACACTCATAATTAACAGTTACCGTAATGTCCATGAATAATTCTCTGGGAAATCTGTGAAAATGTCAATTACAAATCTCCCAATGTTCGGATCTGTGCCAAAATTGAATGGGTTCGCTCTTGGCCGATTTCCCATCTTTCCATGGAGTTTCTTGGGAATCCATTCTGTAGTTCTTGCGTAATCCTACTGGCAAATAAATTAACCAGTACACAAATCAACCAACCAACAAACAAACTAGAATGGCACTCACTGAGCACACACCTCCAGCAAAGATACCAGTTCCCCTACATGCCCCATTTATTTGACCACAATTAACAAATTATTCACTTGGGAATTGGTTAAAATGTCAAAAATGCCCTTAAAAGTCCAGAAAAAAAAGTTTTGTGGAAATCCATTCAGTAGTTTTTGCATAATACTGTCAAAAAAACCAACTAACTAGAATATCAAGCAGTAGAGTGCATTCCCTCTAAATTCAGGCAAGCAAACACTCATAGATGTCAGTTCACTTAATTTGCCTTTGACGTTTTCAAAAAAATTAATAAATTCCCAGATCTGAATCCTCATCTGGAGACACACTGAAATTCACTGGAATCTTCCCTGACGCACACCACATGCTTCTGCCAGGTTTTCGTAAAACTTTGTTCAGTTGTTTTTGTATAATCTTGCGTACAAACCAACCAACAAACAAACAGACAGGAGCGAAACAAAACCTCCTTGGTGCGGGTTTAAAATAAAATCTGCAGATTGGCCACTGCCTCAGGATAATCCACCTGCAGTGTTTTCCAGTCAGGTGCAAAAACACCTCCCCACACAGAGGCCACAGTCACTTCATCTCTATTGAGTCACAAGCACAAAATACCACCTTCTTTGATATCGCAGCCTAAGTCAGACACCCTGCAGGATCACTGCAGTGCTAATTATACTCTTAGCCTTGTTTCTCCATAAACAGGAGCAGGCCCATGCCAAGATGTTCAGGGGTGTAATATCCATGTTGCTCTGAAGTGGGGTTGCATTGCCCTTTGGAGTTTTGTTTATAAACACACACACACACACACACACACACACACACACACACACACACATGCACACGCACACACACGCTCTCACCCATCACCCGTGGTGGTTGGAAATTGATGGTAGCTGCAGCAGATTTATGGGTGGTAGTCTGGCTCCCTCCCTCTGTTATTGCTGGAGGCCTGCCACAGCTTCCCTATCTGCGCTCATGACCTGTTACATCAGGGCAGCCCAGCAGTGAGCCCCAGCCAGCAATTAGTGTCACAGCCAACAACGAGTCTTTTAAAACATATTTAAGCAAGACCCATCCTGCTTTCTGTTTTATCATTAGATTGGCCTGTCAGTGACCAGATTTATGGATGGAATTAAAAGTCTACCTGGTGATCCAGGAGTTTGTCAAAACCAGAGACAGAAGTCAACCTAATTTAAACATCCAACGCGATTTCCTTTTTAGTCTTACCTGTTCAGTTGTTATTGAACATGATTCAGAAATACATATGAAAAACCAGCATCACCCTGCTTTTACTTTTCCTTGAGAAAATCCTCTGACAACTAAAAAATATGCCACCAATGAAGACGGAAATGACTCAGAGTTGTTGAATCATATATTTTACAGGGCCTTCATTAACACGACGCTCCGCGTGTGTGGACGATTCAAGCGCTTCCTACGTTTCACTCAAACAAGTGGACGGCACTAAAGACAATAATTTGAAGGAGGAGGATTGAGAAAATGTGCTCTCCAGGTTTTCTCTACCGTTCGCTCCCTCTGACCATAAATCTTCTGACACATGATTATGTCAGTCATACTTTTGTTTTTCCTCTGGTTGGGACATGCACAAGCACCTGAGCGCTGCACAGTAAATTGCAGAGCACAAGGTTGTCTTTATGTGATTCCAGAGATACTGTATGGGTGCCGAGCTCATTCATGCACTCTCTTAACCGCACGCCGCTTGAGATGGAAGCCAGAGATAGCCGACAATATCCACTCCCCACAAGAGAGGGATCCACAACTGTTTGGCCCCTCAGAGGGTCTATCTGACTTCCCATGCTCTATCTGATTTTGCAGGTAAACACAGTGGTCAAATAGCTTCCAGGCATTGTCGGGGGCATTAAGGTAAGAACCCCGGCTCTCTGGGGGTATTTTAAAGGAGCCATTTACCGTGGTCTGATTGAACATACCCGTCCACTTAACCTGCCTTTGAAAGCTCTTGAAATATGTAATCATGGCAACGGCATCTGGGAAATGGGGTAAAAAGAACTTTGAGTGAGTCTGTTAAAAGCGTCTTTTGATGGCACATAGTGTACTTCAAATGATCTGAGAACCACATATGATACTTTTCCTTGTTTTTGGAGTGGTTTGGAACAGGGCTATGGAGGGCCCTCATACCTGCCCCCCCCCCCACTCACACACCCACACACACACACACCACCCCTTCCACAGTAGACGTCACCTGAGCTAAGCTTACAGTAATCCTCCGACGTCTCGGGCGTCCTGACACGGGATGTTTTGAACAAAAACACCAAACTCACTACAACCCTGTAAGACTCCGAGACGCTTTGGAAACATTGATCTTCTTCCTCCAGCGTCGTCACAGCCGCTTTCTTAATCTCATACTGCTCCTCCTCGATCCTATAAGGACTTGGCATCTTCTCTCCTTGAGTCGATCGCTTGTTCGCAGGTTCATTATTACCAGAGTCTCATTTTTGAAGCTGCACTCCTTGACTCCTCTACTGATTACGAAACATTTTCCCTGCTCGGAGAATACTTAGAATGAAACAGGGAACTCTGCCAAGTGTGATTTTTTCTTTCTATTTGAGATTAGGCAACCAATTTATCGGTCAATGCCGACGCTGTCTCACTTTTTAATTTCTTTGTCTGTCAACAGAGAAGGTGCACAAACAGGTTGGCGGGAAGTAAACATTCTGCGTGTACTTTACTGATGGTGTCATAGCTTCCAAGCTCCTGTCTCTTGGCTGAACAGTTCAGAGGGAGTTGCAATGAATTCTCTCCTCTAGCATCTTGTAACCTGTCCAGACACGCTCCTAAATGTATCATTGCAGAAAGCCATGAAACAATTTGAGCTGATGCTGCCAGTTTAAATATCTAAACCGTGTGGTCAGAGCTATTATATCATTAATCTTCTCCCTCGCTTTGCTCATGCATTGACAAGATATGGAAACACCCTCACCTTCAACCCAGCGAGGTAAAGAGATACCTGAAAGTACCTTCTTTTGATATGTATCCCGCAGTGCTGGTGACAAAAGT